CAAGGCGGGAGAGGGGAGGGGCCACTGGTGGAGGCCAAGTCACAAACTGCAGACCCAAGGGCTGCACCTGAGGGGGTACCTGCACACCTGCACCTGAAGGGGTTACCTGCACCTGAGAGGGTTACCTGAAGTAAGGGGGTCTGCAGCATGTGAGCCGGTCCCAACCAGTGGCGCAGTTTCAAAAGAAAGGTGCGAACACGAATGCAAACACGAGATGCAAGCAAAGTACACAAGACATGGCGAGGCAGGCAAGGGGTTGAGGGAACTTAGCTGTAAGGCGTGAGAGCGAGCACGGGGCAGCTGCAGCACCACCAAGTGACTCCTTCCCCGGCAGCCCTCCTCCCCGCCTTCCCGTGTGTGTACCTCCCTGCACGGCCACAGGGGAGAGGCGTGAGGGAGTGTCGGTGTTGACCCCACGCCCCTCCCCTCCACCAGCAAGGCACAGACAGAGCAGCAGTGAGCGTGCATGGAATGGCCAGAAGCACAAGGGAAACACCAGAAGCTGCCAAATCAGGAAGATAGGAGGGGCCACTGATGGAAGCACGGCCACACGCCACAGACCCCAAGGGAAACCTGCAGTACCTGAGGGGGATACCTGCACCTGAAAAAATACCTGAAGTAAGGGGGTCTGTGGCATGTGGGCCAGGCTCAACCAGTGGCACTGATTCAAGAAGAAGTGCGAAAGCACGAGCAACCAACAAACTGACAGAGAAGGACAAGACGACATGATGTGGCAGGCAAGGGTGAGGGCGCGGAGGAAGGGGCACTTAGCTGGTCATGTGAGAGCGAGCAGAAGGCAGCTGAAATACCACCAGGCGATTCCTCCCAGCAGCCTTCCTCCCAGCCTCCCGTGTACATCCCTGCACGGCCACAGGGGAGGGGCGTGAGGGAGCGTCGGTGTTGACCCCACGCCCCTCCCCTCCACCAGCAAGGCACAGACAGAGCAGCAGTGAGAAAATGAAGACAATAGAAGATATGGGAGGAAGGGGCACTTAACTGATGGCGTGAGGGCAGAAGGCAGTTAGAGCAGCATGGGCGGTTGAAGGAGTACAGGCAGCTGGCGTGGCATGGCGTGTACCTCCCACTGCAACTCGGCTCGTGCGCTTCTGAGAGGAGGGGTGGAGGGGGGGGGAGGGGCGGGAGGTAAGGGGACGGCAGGTGAGGGATGAAGGGAGGGAAGATTATCAGCGCAGTGATGGTGGAGGGAGGCAGCAGTGGGGGAGGGGATGCATGCATGCGAGGTGAGACGGAGGAAGAGCGGAAGGAAGGCCATTGGTGGAGCAACCGTCACAAAGCCACACACCCACGAGATATACCTGAGGGGGAATTCACCTGAAAAAATGACCTGGAGGGGGCTTTACCAATAAAAAATGCATGTGGGCTGAACCGTGTGCTGCCACCAGTGGCCAAGATTTGATGGACAAGTGAGGGAGAAGCGGAAAGGGGCATGAGGATGTGAGGATGGGTGCAGTAAGAAGCGAGCATTTATCTGGCGATGTGGTTGCTTTCTGCTGCCGCCAGATGCTTGACACATGGGGGCGACGCTGATGCTGCCTCGTGTGCTTGCTTGCTGCACCCCGTCCACCCGCCGCTGCTCCTTGAAGCCGAGTTACCTGCACAGGAGAGCAGCGGAAGGAAAGGACGAGAGAGCAGCGTGAGTAGCAGGGAGGCGCGTGAGGGAGCACTGGGAAGAGAGCGTGGGGGAGGAGAGGAAGGGCGAGTGGCAGGTGAGAGGATTCACGGAGCACGGGGAGAGAGGGGAGGGGCCACCAGTAGGAGCACAGCCAGCACAAGCCACGGACCTCGAAGGGAAACGCCTAGGGGAGTACCTGGAGGGGCTGTCAGCCTTGAGGGGGGCTGAACCTGGAGGGGCTGTCAGCCTTGAGGGGGGCTGAACCTGTGGGGGCTAAACCTGAGGGGGATACCTGCAGTAGAATGTCCGTTGCTTGTGAAGCGGGCTCCAACCAGTGGCGAGAGTTTGAAGGAGAAACAACAGAAGCGCAGGTGAGCGAGCATGAGTTGAGTTTAGGGATGGGAAGGTACTTATCTGAAGCCGGCGCACTGCTGAGGGTGGTGTCACCCTTGATCCGCGAGCCTCAGATAAGACACTCGCGAAAGGGACTACTCGCAAAATGGACCTGCGAGATTCAGTTGCGAAATCGATGCACGCAAACGAGTCACGAATTTGAAACGAGAAACTGCAACGCGAGACGAGATGGATCCGCAAAGAAGATTTGCAGACATTGAGATGCTGATGACACGCGAAAATGATTGGAAAACGAATTCGCGAAATTGACTAAGTCTAACATCACGAAAGGTGCGGCTTGCGACAATACCTCAGCTGCTAAGACCAAAGATGAGCGTTGATATGGGAGTTGGTACAGCCGTGCTCTCCGATCCGTGGCTCTCCAAAATCGCGTGCAGCCAAATCGGGGTGAAACGTCGCCTCCAAAACGGCCTGCAACATGCCGAGCATGCAGGCGTCATGTCAGAAATATCGCATGACGATTTTCAAACCTGATGTTGCGAAAACGAATCATTACACTAGACAATAAAACTCGATGCGGATGTTTTCACAAGTACCTGAGTAGAGATTCTATAGAACATCCCGGACTCCAATTACACGTGGCTCTCCAAAATCGCGTACAGCCAAATTGGGGAAGATGTTCCTTGGATGCAGTCGCAACGTCAGAAAATATCGCACATCGATTTCATATTCTAAATTCGCGAATTACTCCAGACAATAAAATTCGGTGCGCGGAAACTCCTTAGCAAATGCTCTCAGTATTACCTGAATGGAATATTCCTTTTGCGCAAAACACGCCGAGTTTCCAAGCTAGATGACGCGACTTCCCGCTCCCTTTTTCCCGTTAGTGAAGCTCCTACTAGGATTCAGTCGGACGCAGACCAAACGGCTTCAATCTTGAAAAATTGCATCAGCGAACGTAAGCCTGAGCTCTACAAGTCAAAACGCCGAGTTCTAGAGCTATGGAAGCAGAGCTCCAGGAAACGAGCAGCTGAGCAGAAGAAGCTGGGAGTGAAAAATGAGAGCAAAAGGCGAAATGTGAACTTCAGGCGAGAATGACGTTGGAATGAGGCGGAGGGATTGCGGAATGCCTCGCCTCTCCTTCCCTCGCATTCCAACCAACGCTCTCGGGTTCTCACCACACAAGATCTACCGTCCAAAATCACTTAGGCGTTCGAAACCACTCTCCTAGTTCAGATCGCAGCCGTAGGTTGAAATTCCCATTTCGGCAGGACCAACCATTCAAGCAGCGGTGAAGAGAAATTCTCGATCTTGATTGGATCACAGTTGTGTTGGATCATGACGAGAAATGAAGGTGCTGCGAATGGTTGGTCCGGTCAGACTCAAAATTTCCCGATGACAGGGAGATTCTAAAGTCCACTTCATGGCTGGTCAGGAATCGTTTACGTGGCACGTGAGTCTGGTGGTCAGGAAAGGCAAAAGGAAAATCTCCGACTGTGTACTGCACGCGTGTCGCCTCGTCGCCTCAGAGGCTACGCGACGCGAGTCGTTCAACACCGACCATTTTCAGCGAGCTTTCCGTTGGCAAACGCGGGAGTTGCGGGATTCCTCCATGTGAACGTTTGACTCGGTGACTTTGCGACCGTCGATTGTCATCTCATTTGAAGTCGCACCGTCATAGCGTGCAATGGGAACGCGGGAAACCCAATCGTTTGAATATGACTCTGTTCTTCCAACCAATGGGAGCGAAGAATGTCCTGCGAGGGAAACAAATCCTCGCCCTGCGGCCGTGGTTGGTTTGCGCCCTGATGAGATTCCCTGCACTTCGACAATGATACTGACGTTGCAGATTGAGATCCAGATGAAGGGGAAACTTTGCGAGGCCGACGATTTTCGACGGGGTTCGCAAAACACTGTTACTCTACTTCCGTCAGCTGGGAAGGGGTACGGTTTCCTGACAAACTGCATCGTCCAACGTACGGTTTCCTGACAAACACTGTTACTCTACTTCCGTCTACTTTCGCATCTCTACTTCAACGACTGATCGAAAGGGGTACGGTTTCCTGACAAACTCCATCGTCCAACGAAATGCGTGAAGGGAGCAGTGCTGGGAAACATCATTTGAAGTGGGCTCGTTAATTTCACAGTACTACCGTATCCTCGTCTACATTCATGCAATTCAACTCTCATACGAAGTGTACTTGTCTCGACAGCGACAATTATCTCTTTTGAGGCGTGGTTGACGCGGTTCGCGTAAAACTCCAGAATCCTTCCCAGCCTGGCAAATCAAACAACGGCCAAACCACTTTTGTCGTGCTGTTGAAGAATTCAGCTCCTCCTGTCTTGTTGGAGGACCATCGTGATCAGATCATGCTGCCGAATGTCCCTCGCCCAAACCAAACCCAGCCAAAGCAAAAGCAAGCCTCACCAAACGACATTCCACTGTCACTGATTGGTCCGAGGCATGGCTATCCCAACCAGACATCACACCACCACCACTCAACAGCGGCAACGCAACGGGCAAACATCCGATCCGAACCGAACCAGTCCCCAAGGCACCACCACCACCCTAGAAGCCACATCACCAGACCTAGTGATGGTAACCAGCCTTTCCACTCGCCCACCGCCCCAACGGGGGTTCGTTACGCACAGAGCGTTCTTCGTTGCGCCGACAAGACAGGCATGCAGCACCACCAGTACCACTACACCCCCCACGGAAATGGGCCTCCCCCAAACCAGTCCCATTGGGCATTTGGCGCGGCTCTTTCCCAGCCTGGTACTCGCCCAAGCCCACTTGCCTGAAATGTCTCACCTCATCACTTCTCCCAACCGAACCCATCCCATACCAAGGATCCGATGTGGTGCTGGCAGGTGATCGTCAAGCTCTACTAGTTCAGTGCAACCATATCACACCCCACATCACTGCTCGGCTTCTTCAATATTCACGAGCTTGAACCAGAACACATCGCCTCGTCAACGTGATCTTGATTTTCGCCCCCTCACCGTGGCAAAAATGGCTACCCTAGATCAATTTCCACCTGTAAGAGAGTTAGCAGAATCACACATCCTGGATCAGCCCTGGGCTTTCCCACATCCGCTTCGTGATCAAACCCTGGACGCCCATTTTTCCGCGCTCCGCGCCCGCAATTCCCCGGTTCACAAGCGCAAGGAGCGCAGCATCTCCCCTCCTTCCGCCCTCACCGCTCCGATTACAGGCGCTTCTGGCGCGCAGACATGCAATGCCGCACCCTTCGCGTCGTCCCTTCAATCTCCGCCGCCGCTCGTTTTCGTCGCGGACTGCCCGCACGATTGCGCCGCCAGCAGCAGCTGGCGGTTTGCTGAGTACGCCACGCCGCGAGACGTCTCTCGTCCCCTTCCAGACGATTTCTGCCAACGCTCCGCCGCCGCCGCCACCATGAGAGAACCCGGCGCAGGCGCAGCAGCAATGACGCCTGAAGGCTTCGAGGTTCGGTCTCTCGCGTCAGAGATCCCGCCCACGTTCTGGGAGGCGCAACAGGCGCAGAAGCAGCAGCGCCCGCACACTGTGCCGCGCAGCGGTATCCCCTACTTCCGCAGCAGCAGCGGTAGCAGCAGAAGGGCGCCAGGGTCGCCGCTGGGAGCCGCCGGTAATCCCAAGAACCCCCCCGGTACTGCGCTGGGACGGGCTAGAGCGGACTTGCAAAGGGCGCGGGGGTCGAGATCACTGGCGGCGAGAGCGTTGCACCACGGATCGGCCTGTGAAAGCAGCGGCAAGCGTGGAAGTCTCAGTGACGGTGCAATAATCAACGGTGGGGATGCTGCCGCCTCTGCGGCGGCTGGCACTGGGTCTCCTCTGCCGAGCCGAAGGTTCCTGGCTAGGACGTTGAGCGGGTCTGTGGAATGGCCGTCTCGGCTGGAGAGTCTGTTCATGAGACCAGGCTCGGGGAAAGGCAAAGCCCTCGGAGACATCAGTGGAAGAGCAGGGTTTTTCGTGGGCGGTGGAAGGAAAGCACATGGGGATATTGATGAGAATGAGGAAGCAGTAACGATGGGGGTTCAACGCAGCAGAAATGAAGTTGTGAAGGGGGTTAGGGGAAGAATTTTGCCACAGGACGTTGATGAGTGTGAAGAGGAGATAGATGGATTGGCAGATGGTGACCTGGAGGTTCCTCAGATAGTCACTTGTTTTGGGAGATCTAGATGATCCACCATCCACATAGGTGGCTGTTAATTTTGAGATTTTCGACTATAATATTACATCCCATTATTCACTTATCTTTCTATTGTATCATATTTCATGTGAACTGTATTCACCTTTGTATCAATCGCGCATTTGTACTGATGGGTAACAAAATATTTACCTTGTCGAACATCACATGTGTGGAAACACCGCACAACACCCCTTGGCAAATCACACAAGCGCACAAGCACAAACACGTACTCTGCCCGCCCAGCAAAATATCCAGCACGCGTGTGCCTCTAGGTGTGGGTGTAACTGTTCGTGCACTGCCGTTGACGACAACAAATGTTCTTCGCGAAAATCATTGAGATTGCACACTGTCCTCAAGTCTCCTTCGCAAAACTCGCGTCCCGCCAAATTCCAGTCACGCTGTAACCAAGCTCAGGTGCCATACCTCTTTCCGAGCCTACGTTCTAGCCCGCCTCGCGGCCATATCTAGGCAACCTTACCTTGGAGGCACAAGCAAGCGGCACATCCCACCTCCGAACTCCGAGTCTGCCGAGCATACAGTATACACACAGGAGCACCACCCCACCCCATCCACTCACGGAACAGAACATTCCATCGCAAAAAGTTGTTGCCCAACAGAGCCATACAGCTCAACCTTCTCCTGAGTTACTGTAGGTTCCTCGCTTAGAGTTAGGGCGAGTCAGAAGCCAGGTTCGTGTGCGGTTGTTGAAGCTTTTGTCCGTACCAGGGGCGTTGCAGTTGGGAGTGTAGTGTCGGCGGATATTGCGTCGCGCCGCAAGTTGCGCCTGTTTAAACCATGCGCGTCGCATACTAAAGCTTCGCGATGGGATAAAATGTCTAGTTTTTTTAGTCGCGGTTGCGTTCACATGGTTTTGACTTCGTGGCGCCTATGTAGGTCTGTTACCTAACGGGCTCAATCTTCCCTATCATAGCTTCTTGGCAAATGCGAAACCCTAGAAACGATTAATAGCCTCCGTCGATTAATTATTTTATTGGGTTTCTCAGCGCGTGCTTTACTTCTCACTTCAGTACAGGCCCGCTCGTTTTTCAGGTTAGACCATGGATGTTTGAGTCCGCTAAAAATCCGCTCATTGCTGATGCTAGACCATGGCGGACCCGTCCACCGTTCTAGAAGAGCTCTTAGTCGGCTCAAACTCCAGTTAAGGCCCGCCCGTTGTTCATGTTAGACCATGGCGGACCCGTCGACGGTTCTAGAAGAGGAGTTCGACGAGAACTACGAGCCGACGCAGGAAGGTGAGCTCGCGGATACGGTATACTCACTATTGAGTCGCGCAAAAAGGCCACTGTTTTGGACGAGGAGTCGTACGAGAGGTTTGAGCTGACGCGGGATAGGAGGTAGCCATCTTGGGAAATATCCGTTTATGTATATTTTCTTCCTCCGCTGCAGCATCCTCCCCCCCAGCATCCTCCCCTGCAGCATCCCTCCCCCGCAGCATCCACGCCTCCGGCAGCCTCCCCCGCAGCACGGATTAGGGTTAATTCTCGATCGTGAAGGATCGACGGTTCACATTGAACTGTAGATGCACCATTGACAATCGGCGGCTGTGCCTTGCTTTGCCGTCGCAGTCCCTCCCTTGCTCTCTCGCTCTCTACCTCTCTCTCGATCTCTCCCTCTCTCTCGCTCTCACCCCCCCTCGTTCTCTCGCTCTCTTCCTCTCTTGCTCCGTCGCGCGCGCTGATGGCGTTCAAGCAGCCGTTACCCGAGCTATCATGCACCGGCGCTGGCCGCTCGTCGTCTTCGTTGCGTGCGCTGTCTTTGAGAAGTCTCGAAATATTCTTCTTGAGTCGACTCAAAAAGCGGCAGCACTGGCTGCTTGTCGTCTTCGTTGCGTGTGTGCCACTTTCGAGAATTCTCATAAGCGACGCGCAAGCCTACCAGCCTTTAGCCAAGCTATCACGTGCCAGCGCTGGCTGCGCGTCGGATCTTTACTGCTTAATGATTATTGCGCAGCGCTTTTAGGGTGGCGCTTAAGTTCACGGCGCTAAAATGTTCGTCGCTTCAACCCATACCCGTCCGCAGCTATTTTCCGCCCTTTTCCCTCCCGCGTGCTGTCCGTGCGCGTCCCTACGCCGGCTCAACGAGCGGCTGAGCTGCCCACTCTTCTCTTTGCTGCTGTCCCACCATCCTCGAGTACGCGCACTGGCTGGGCATGGAGTTACCGGGGGAGGAGGAGCTGCTGTGGGCGGGACAATAACCACGGTCACCCTAATCCCTCTTTCCCTCACCACCCCTTTCCCGAACCCCGCCGCACTCCCCCTCACCCCTCTCCCCATCAGACATCCTCGAGTATGCGCAATGGCTGGGGATGAAATTGCCGAAGGAGGAGGAGCTGCTGTGGGTGGCGCCATCCCTTGTCACCCCACCTTCCATTTGACCCCCCTTGCTTCGTCCCTCATGCTGCGCCCGTGCTCTGCTTTCTGGCCCTCCCGCTTTCCCGCAGATATATTGGAGTACGCGCAATGGCTGGGGATGGAATTGCCGGAGGAGGAGGAGCTGCTGTGGGTGGCGCGGCAGGGGCTCAAGGCGCCGCTGCCGCCCAACTGGAAACCATGGTGCGTGCGTGTGGCGTGTGTGTGCCGTGCGTGTGGCGTGCGTGTGGCGTGTGGCGTGTGGCGTGTGGCGTGTGCCGTGCGTGTGTCGTGTGTCGTGTGTGTGGCGTGCGTGTGAAGATCTTCTGACATGATTTCAGAGAGCCGCGGTGCTTACTTAGGAAGCCATCTCACTGGAACCATGTCAGAAGGTGGCGTGTGGCATGTGCACGTGGCGTGCGTAGCGCCCGTGGCGTGTGCGTGTAGCGCGTGTGTAGTGACATGTGGCGTTTGCGCTGGCGTGTTTGTGGCGTGCGCGTGGTGTGATGTTGTGTGGTGCATGTCGTGTGCATGCGTGCAGCGTTGCTGTGGTGTTCGACCCGCACAGCGTTCCTGTGGCGTTCGACCTGCATCATTCAACTTACCAGCCATCCCCTTTTAACCCTCCTACCCTCTCCCTTCTCCCACCCACACCAGTCGCACGGACGACGATGAGATCTACTACTTCAACTTCCAGACGGGCGAGAGCGTGTGGGACCACCCCTGCGACGACCACTACAGGTGAATCAACGGCTGTGATTGTGACACGTTGCATGACCAGTGGCCATTGTTGAATGTTACCAGTAACCACATCCATTTCATGCCATGCCATGCCATGCCATGCCGTGCCATGCCATGCCATGCCGTGCCATGCCATGCCATGTCATGGCATGCCATTCCGTGCTGCGCTGTGCTGTGCCGTGCCGTGCTGTGATGTGCAGTGCCACACCAAGCCATGCGTTGCCATTCTCCTCGTCCTGTATTCCACTCACTCCCCCTCTATCTCACACCCGTCCACTCTCCCCTTAACCATACCTTCTCTTCTCCCCCTCAGAGCCCTGTACACGGAAGAGTAGATCAAGCTCACTTTTGCCAAGGCTGTAGTCCTGAGGCTCTATTCCCCCTCCCTCCCACCTCTTCCCCTCTCTCCCCCCTCGCTTTTCTCCCCAGAGCCCTGTACACGGGAGAAGAACAAACTCAAGGCCGCGAAGGCGGCTGCAGCAGCCGCCAGCAGCAGCAGCCGGAGGGGGGCGGGGGGCGAGGAGGCGCGGGGGAGACGCGAGGAGGAGGGCAGGCGAGGGGGACAGGGGGGCGCTCGTGGAGGAGGGGGAGGGGGAGGAGGCGGAGGAGCAGGGGGAAGAGGCGAGGGAGGGGGGAGGGGCGAGGGAGGGGGAAGGGGCGAGGGAGGTGGGAGGGGAGATGCAGGGGGGCGGGGAGAGGGAGGGGGAGGAGGAGGAGGAGGAGGAGGAAACGGGTCAGCAGCAGGAGCAGGGGGAGGGGGAGGGGGGATAAGGGAAGGGGCGGCGGTGAAAGGGGGTGCGCGGGATGGGCTGGTACGGCAGGCGTCGCTGCCCCCACAGCCCAAGGAGGAGCATCGCAACAACCTGTTCCGTCAGGGCTCGCTGCAACCGCAATCCATGCTGCAGGTGGGGAGGGGTGATGTGTGCGGCTTTGCTGCAGGTGGGTGGGGCAGGCCACAAAGCATGCTACTGGTGGGTGTATAAGTGGGCTTAGAATCACATTATGGCTGCCCCCACAGCCCAAGGAGGAGCATCGCAACAACCTCTTCCGCCAGGGCTCGCTGCAACCGCAATCCATGCTGCAGGTGGGGAGGGGTGGGGGTCAGAGCTTGCTGCAGCCTGCAGGTGGGGCGGTGCTTTTCCCTGTGGTGCGATTGTTTTCAGTCACAACCCTTCTCTCATCTCCCGAACCCTACACTCTCCCCCTTGCCCATCCCGTGTCCATTGCCCATCCCTTCCCCCATGTGACTCTCCCACCCTCAGCGGAGGCGCAAGGTCGTCCCCAAGGGGTCAAGAGACGCCTCGTTTCTTGAGGCGCCTCAGAAAAAGCCTTGACCCTCCCTATTGCCCATCCCTTCCCCCTTCAATTGACGCGCCTCATACTTAGTCCTCTTGCCGATTCCCTCCTCCATGACTCTCCCACCCTCAGCGGAGGCGCAAGGTCGTCCCCAAGGGATCAAGAGACGCCTCCCCCGATTCCCCGAGCGCAGGTGTGTATCTGGGGGCGGGGAAGTAGTGAGGGGAGGGCGGGGAAGTAGTGAGGGGAGGGCGGGTGAAGAGGGTTGAGGCGCAAGGTCGTTCCCAAGGGGTCAAGAGACGCCTCCCCCGATTCCCCTAGCGCAGGTGTGTTATTGTAGGGGGAGGCGGGCGGGGGGAGGGTGAGAGGAGGGGTGAAGAGCATGAAGGGGAGTGCTGGGGTAGGGTTGGAGGAAGGGCTGGGGAGAGTGAGGGGGACGTTGGGCTGCAGATTTTTTCACATGAGAGAAAAGCTCCACACTCACACAGAGAACTGCTGCTTCTCCTCCACACACCAGCCCCACCCTCCCTCCTCCCTGAAACTAGCCTAGCCCCACCCACACTCGCCCTTACCTGCTCCTCCCCCACCCTTCCCGCCCATTCATGCGTGCAGGAGTGCCACAGGGTCGAGGGCGCCTCTCCATCACAGATAGCTCGGAGGATGATAGAGGCATGGCGCGCGCTGCTGCTGCTTTTGCTGCTGCTGCTGGTGCTGTTTCTTCCCCTAATAACAACCCCACCTTCGCCCTTCCCCCCTCATGCTCGCAGGAGTGCCGCAGGGCCGAGGGCGCCTCTCCATCACAGACAGCTCAGAGGACGATAGAGGCATGGCGCGCGCTGCTGCTGCGTCCCAGCAGCAGATGCGGCTTCAGCAACAACAGCAGCAACAACAACAGCAGCAACAGCAACAACAACAACAGCAACAGTTTCAGCAGCAGCAGCAACGACAGGCGAGACAGCAGCAGCAGCAGCAGCAGCAGCAGCAGCAGCAGCAGCAGGGGGAGCAAGGGCAAGGGGGTAACCAGCAGAGCAGGAGACCACCTGCAGGTTCGGGAGGGGTAGGTGGAGGTTCGGGCGCTGCTGATAGGGGAGCGGGGGGTGGAGGTTCGGCAGCTGGAGGGCCGGCAGCAGGTTCGGCAGGAGGTTCGGGGCAGGAGGTAGAGCTGCTGCATCAGGTCACGTGGTCTCCCGAACCTGGGCAGGGTCGGCGGTCTCCCATGGCTAGCTCTCTGGCTCGGGCGGGGTCCATGGGGGCTGCTATCAAGGGAAAGCCCACAGTTCTGGAAGAAACGGATGGTGAGCGGTGCAGAGTGGTGTAGAGCGGTCTTTGAATGTGCAGTGCAGTGCAGGTGTTACGTAGATATGGGATGGTGGATGTTGGTTGAGGAATGGTTATGTGATGGTGTGAGAGTGATGTATGGATAAATGGATGGATGGACGGACACTTGAATGCTTCTCGCTGTGCGTTTTTGAAAAGTATGAATCGCCATCTGCCTTTACCCAGTGACCCCCTTGTCTTGTCTCACGCGCCCATCCGTCCCTGTGTTGCCCTTTTCTAGCAGAGGAGTGGGAAACGTCCGACGACGAAACGGGCACCAGACCACCCTCGTCCGCGGCCGCTGTTGCCGCTGCATCAGCAGCAGCGCCAGGTGCAGCGGCAACATCTGGAATCCCAGCCTCCCAATCCCCTGGTGGTGTGTCTACTGCTGCTGGGGCGGGAGGGCAGGGGGCAGGCGCAGGGGCAGGGGGAGGAGGGGGAGGGGGAGCGGGGGGAGGTGGGGGTGCTGGTCGGGGGGCCGGTAGAGGAGGGGCCGAGGGTTACCACCAACAGCAGCAACAGCAACAGCAGCAGCAACAGCAGCAGCAGAAGCATGGGATGGTGCCTCGGAGGGCCGGTGGAACGCCGAACCAGAACCAGGAGGTTCGGCGAGGAGCGGGTGGAGGGGCGGGGGGTGCTGGTGGGGGTGGTGCTGAGGGTGGGGGCAGGGGGGAAGCAGGGGGAAACAGGAGACCGGGGAGTTCGGATAGGGTGGGCGGGGAAGCTGGAGTGGTGGGAGCAGGTGTGAGTGGTGCAGGGGCTGTTGGTAAGGGAGGGGCAGAGGGACGGGAGGGGAGGGAGAGGAGGGAAGAGCGAGGAGAAGGAGTGGGGGGAAGGCAGGAGGGGGAGGGGAAGGAGAGGCGGAGGTCTTTGGAGGGGAGGGGGAGTGGCGTGGGGGGGGAGAGGGCGGGGGAGAGATCCGCGGATAGGGGGGATCCGAGGGATGGGCGGGGGGGAGAGGGGGCGGGGAGAGGAGGGCCAAAGAGGACTAACAGCACAGATGCCCAGGGGGGAGCCATTCAGGGTAACAGTCAGGGCAATAGTCAGGGCGTGGGGTATTCTAGAGGAGGAGGCGGTGAGGCGAGTCAAGATGCACAGCAGAGAGGTGAGTGATGGACGAAGGAAAAGAAACACTAGGGCAACTAGCGCACATATGGCATGTGAATGAGATTGAGCCCAGGGCTATTAGAGTGTGTGTGTCATGGATGTAGAAAATTACCATCCTCCCTCCCACCATTCCGTCTCTCCCCCTTGCCCTCTTTGCCCAGCCCATTCCATCCTCACTCTCACACCATCCATTCCCTCCCTGCCTCCACATCCCCCACCACCCCAACCTCCCACACACTCCCTTCCCCGGCCATGTTTCAGGTGCACGGGCCACACAGTCCGCTGCAGGCATAGCCAGACAGGTGCGTTTGGGAGCAAGGTTTGAACTTGCAGGGTGTTTTTTGGGAATTCTCAGAAGCGCTGTGCCATATATTCTGCTGCGGGGGTAGCCAGACAGTCACGTCTGGGAGCAAGTCTTCTTGAACTTGCAGGGTGTTTTTGAGAATTCCCAAAACACTGTGCCTCACACACTGTCTGCTGCAGGGATGGCCAGAGAGGTGTTTCTGAGAGAGTGGAGACATAGCATTGAGTGATAACAGCAGGCAGGCTGTGTCAGTTCTTGCACTGCATTCATGTGTGAGGTGAGAGGAGAAAATGAGAAACCAGTTCTTATCTCCTTGTTGTTTTCCTCGTCTCTCCTCTCCCCACCCAGGGATCCTGGGCCAAGCCAGCAGAGGACGCCAAGCAGCAACAGGGGAGGGGCGCTGCAGCTGCTGGTGGTGGTGGTGGTGCGGGCACTGGTCCTGCTGCTGCTGCAGGGGGGCCTGGGGCAGGCGTATCTGGTGCAGGTGGTGCTGGTGGTGCTCGAAAGGCCTCTGGGCTGGGCGATGGGCGGCTTGCGGGGGGGCCGCAAGGGGGAGGGGCGGGGCAAGGAGCGGTGCAGGCTGGTGGCTCTGGTGGGTTACTGGGGGCCGCAGCAGCAGAGAGACAGAAGCGGGAAGGGGAGGAGGTGGCGGGGAAAGGAGGGACTGTGAAGGAGCGTGAGCTGCTCTCCCAGGAACCCAAGGATGATGCAGAGGTATGAAGGGGTGTGGTGGGGTATGGAGGAGTGTGGTGGGGTATGGAGGAGTTTGGTGGGGTATGGAGGGGTGTGGTGGGGTATGGCAACAGCAGCAGCCCAGCGGCGTATCGCACGGCACGAGGCGGAGTGTGTCGGGCCCTGACTCTCTTGCCCTGTCTGCTCCCCCCTCTCACCCCTTACTGCCACCCACCCACAGGATGATGAGGTGAATCGCTTGAAGGAGGCAGCGGCAGCAGCACAGAGGCGAATAGCGCGGTACGAGGCAGAGTGTGACGGGCCCTCACTGAACTTCACTCTCTTACCCTGTCTGCCCCGGCCCCCTCCCCCCACCCTACAGGACGACGAGGTAACCCGCCTTCGGGAAGTGGCAGCAGCGGCGCAGAGGCGAATAGCGCGGTACGAGGCGGAGTGTGACGGGCGCCTGGCAAAGCTCAAGGCGGAGAGGGAGGCGCTGGTGCGGCGGCGAGAGGCGGAGATCACACGGCTGGCAGAGCAACTGGGCACGGTGAGTGGTGCAGTTGGGCGGTGTGCTTCAAGTGCTTTCTGAGCGGCAAGGCGAGAGGGAGGCCTGGCACTGGTGAGCGTTAAACACGCGAGAACGCGATGCAGCCGTAGCGGCAGCAAAGGAGGAGGTGGAGCGGGAGAGGCAGCGAGACAGTGAGGCTTATTTGTATCGATTTCCTTGTCTTGCCCCTCCCAACCAGCCCTTTGATGCCGGCGCGCTCACCCAAGCCAAGCGCGCAGTGTAGCAGTGGACGAGGGAAGAGCACTCATCACACGGGAACGCGATGCAGCCGTGGCAGCAGCAAAGGAGGAGGTGGAGTGGGAGAGGCAGCGGGCCATGGCTGTGCTGCAGCGAGGCAGTGACTCAATCCCCAACCCTTCTCCATCCACTCCCCTGTCTTGCCCTCCTAACCAGCCGTTTGATGCCGGAGCGCTGACACAGGCGCGCAGTGTAGCAGTGGACGAGGGGCGAGCTCTTATAACGAGGGAACGCGATGCAGCCGTGGCAGCAGCAAAGGAGGAGGTGGAGCGGGAGAGGCAGCGGGCCATGGCTGTGCTGCGAGAGGAAGCTTCCCTGAAGGTGGCGCTGGAGCGGCGGCACCTGCAGGTGGATCCTCAGGTGGTGGCGCTGGTGAATCTCGAGGAGGTGGCTCGGCAGCAGGAGTTTCTCAACCGCTGGCGGGCGGCACTGGAGCAGGAGAATGTGAGTGACTGAGGTCTGGGGATGGGGTTGGAGGTGAGTGGGGGGTGTGCAAGTGGAGGTGAGTGGGTGGGGGGGGTGGAGGTGTTGTGACGTGACGTATCTAAAGTATAGCAAGCCTTACTCACTTCTGTTACCTCTTCCTCTCCCGTTCTCCCTCTCCTCTCTCCTCCCCTTTTCTCCTACCCCCAGCCGCAAGTCCTAGCCCGATGGAAAGCAGCAGCAACGGAAGAAGAGCAGCGGATGCTGGAGATGGCACGGAGAGAAGCAGCAGTGCGGGTGGAGAGAATAGTAGAGCAGGAGGAGCGGCGGGAGCGGGAATCATCCCTCAAAGGAATCAGAGAGAGGGTTCGGGCGAAGCTAGGGGAAGAGGAGAGGCGGATAGTTGCCCAGGAACGGGCAGAAATGGCGTCCCGTGTTGCCGAAGCTGTCGCGGAGGATCGGGAGCGGCTTGTGGAGGCTCGGCGGAAGGAGGTGCTGGATCGGGCGGAGCGGGAGGCTGGGGAGGAGGCGGAGAGGAGGAGACAGGCTCGGTTGCTGGAGGCTTGGAGGAGGGTAGAGGCTGAGGTGGAGGGGGTGCAGGAGGAGGGGTGGGAGAGTGTGGTGGGGAGGGCGAAGGGTGTTGCAGAGGAGGCTGGGATTTCAATGGATGGTGAGAAGGTGAAATTGCTAGAGATTGTGCGGTGGTCGCTAGAGGAAGAGAGGAAGGAGTTGAGCGAACAGAGAGTGGCTGAGGTGGTTGAAGCGTTGAAGGAGGAAGAGAGGGAGGTTGTAGCGCGGATGAAGAAGGAGAAGGGGGTGAATGGGGAGGTGGTGGGGGCGGATGGGGTTGGCGGTGCTGTGAGCGCGGCTTTGAAGGCTCGGGCAGAGGAGGAGGCTGCTGGGAAGCTGGAGAGGTTGAGGAAGGAAGCGGAGGAGAGAGTGAGGGAGCAGGTGAGAGGAGAGGAGGCTGCGTTGCTGGTTAGGAGGAGGGGGGAGATGGAACAGAGGGTGGAAGCGTTGGGTAGAGGAGGGAAGGGCGCGGTGATTCAGCTAGAGAAAGATTTTCTGGAAGGGGAGTTGGGGGAGAAAATTGCACTGATGAGGAAAGAGGCGGAGGAGAGGGAGGTGCGGGAAAGGGAGAGGCTTAAAGCGAGTATAGAGAGGAGGTTAGAGGAGGCAGTGGAGGGGGAGGAGAGGGCGATGGAAGGTGTGGTGGAGGAGAGGAAGAAGGAGATGAGGGAGAGGGCTAGGCGGGCTGTGCAGGAAGAAGAGAAGAAGCTTCTGGAGGAGATGCGGGCGCAGGTTCGGAAGAAGGTGGAGGATAGGTTCGGCGCCGAGGCTGAGAGCTGGGCAGGTTCGGTGAGGGAGGAATTGATGGGGCAGGCGAAGAGGGAGGTAGAAGAGGAGGTGGAGGAGTGGAGAAGGAAGGAACTGGCTGGTGCTGGGGTGAAGGGGAGTGGGAGGAAGGGTAGGAAGAGAGGAGGGAAGAAGGGGAAGGAGGACGGGGAAGAGGAGGAGGATGAAGATGGGGAGGAGGAGGAAGAGGAGGAGTTGGAGGAGGAAAGGGAGATGAGGAGGCAAGAAATGATGGAGGAATTAGAAGAGGAGGTGGAGGCAGAGAAGCAGAGGCGGTGGGAGGAGATGGAGGAAGATCTTATCGGCCAATGGGAGGCCAAGAAAGAGGAGCGGCTCGCTGAGCTGGCGCGGAAGGTGGATGCTGACGTGGCAGAGGGGTATGAGAAGCTGAGAAGGGAGAAGGAGGAGGAGATTGAGCGGAAGATCTGGGAGCAGAAGGTTGCTGAGGTGGACGGGCAGATTGGAAAATTGCTCGAGGAGGAACGGGCAGTTCGGCTGCAAGCTGCCCGAAAAGTCATGGATGCGTCGTTGAGAAAACAGATTGCAAGTGAAAGGGAGGAGAGTCTAGGGCAGATGAGGAAGGAATGGGATGAGATGGAACCAGAGCAGCAGGAAGCTTGGGCGGTGCAGCAGCGGGAGGAGAAAGGGCGGCGGATGGAAGAAGAGATGAAGAGGCGGGTAGAGGAGGAGGTGAGGGAGTATAGAGAGAGAATGCTGGCGACAGTGGCGGCAGAGGAGAGGGAGGTGAGGTCGAGAGAGAGCAACAAGAGAGACCTGGTGAGGATCGAGAGAGAGTATAAGCGGCAGAGGCAGGAAATGGAACTGAGGGCGTCACATGCTCTAGAGGCTTTTAGAACGGATCTGAGCGTGAGGCTGGAGAGAGAGAAGCTGCGACTGAGACGGGAAGCGAAGCACGCTTTAGAGAGGTATGAGATTGAGCTTGATATTAAGGTGGAAAAGAAAGTGGAGTCTATGAGGGTTGATCTGCAGATTAGGTTAGAGGCGATGCGGAGGGAAATGGAGGTGACGCTGAGGAAGAAGGTGGAGGAGGAGAGGGTGAGGCGGCTGGAGATTCTGAGTAGAGAGCTGAAAGCGGAGGAGAGGGAGATGCGGCGAGGGTGGAGGGAGCTTATGGCTCAGGAGGAGGCCAAGGTGAGACGGCAGTACGAGCAGAGAAGGAATTTGCTGAGTAATGCTCTAGAGAGTGAGTCAAGTGGCGTGGAGGGGAGAGGAGGGGGTGTGGGGGGAGAGGATGGGAAGCAGCGAGGAGGGAGGGGAGCGAATCGGAACCCGCACCAGCAGGTTGGGTTCGGCGGGTTAGGTTCGGGCGGGGTAAGGGGGATGGGAGGGGGGATGGGTGGCGGCGGGGGGGGGATGTTTGGCGGGATGGGGGGCGGGATGGGGGGGATGGGGGGGATGAGGTTGATGGATGGGAGTGGGGGGAGTGGAGGGGGGTTCAGGCTTCTAGAGGTGGCTAATGAGAAGGTGGGGGGGAGTGGGGAGGGTATGGGAGGGAGAGGAGGAGCGGGAGGAGCGAGAGGGAGAGCGGGAGGCGGAGGAGGGATGGGAGGGATGGGCGGGGGGGTAGGGGGGATGGGAGGGGGTAATATGGGTGGGTCTTGGTTAGACGAGCTAAGGAGTGGGGGAGAGTCAGATGTGAGTCTAAGTCATGGGTTGAGTGCTAGTAGGGAGTTTGAACCGGGGACAGGGGAGGACAGAGGGAGGAGAGGCAGAGGAAAGGGAGTGGGGAGGAGAGGGGAGGTTGGTGACGGGGAAGAGGGAGAGGAGGAGGAGGGAGAAGGTGAGGAGGAGGAAGAGGAGGAGGAAGAGGAGGGAGAGGGGTTGGATCTGGGGCAGGGGCGAGGGGGGATGGTGGAGGAGGGAGGATCTATGTCTGAAGAGCCAGAGCAACTAGAGGGACAACACGACCGGCAGCAGCATCACCAGCACGAGAAAGCCAGCGCAGCAGGAGCCGCAGCAGCAGGAGCGGCAGGGGCCGAGGCAGCGGCAGGGACAGGGGCGGCGGCGGCAGCGGCAGCGGGTGGTGAGGTGGGTGTGAGTGGAGCGAGTCCCCTAGGGAGTGCTGAGCCGGATCGATCGGACGAGGCTGATAGCAAGAAGGACGTTGACTCGCTCCCCCCGGAGGCCACAGAGGGAGGCGCTGCTGCTTGGGGCGCAGGGGGGGAGCGGGGGGAGCGGGGGGAGAGGGGGGAGAGGGGGGAGCGCGGAGAGGTAGGGGAGGATGGGGCTGGCGGGCTGGATGTAGCGGGAGGGGGGAAGGCGGGGGGAGAAGCGGCAGGGGCCGGCGCAGGAGTGGGAGGGGCGGAAGGACAAGGAGCAGCAGCAGCAGGAGGAGGAGGAGGAGTAGGCTTAGGGCCACACCCACTGGGATCTCCTGACGATTCTGGGAGCAACTTCGGAGAAAGTTCCTCGGAGCTTCCGAGGCTGACGCTGGGTGGGCCGGGAGGGGAGGGGGAGGGGGCGGGACTGGCGGGGGACTGGATGGGGAGGGGGTGGGCGAAGCCGGGGCAGAGACGGTCGCGGAATCGCAACAACCAGAAGGTGGCACGGCAGCCGAACGACGTGGCGGATTATTACTCCGAGTGGAGCGAGTCGGGGTCTGAACTGGTGAGTCTAGTCACGTGATAGCAGGTTGGATGGGGCGGGGGTGGGCAAAGCCGGGGCAGCGGCGGTCGCGGAATCGCAACAACCAGAAGGCGGCACGACAACCGAACGACGTGGCGGATTATTACTCGGAATGGAGCGAATCTGGATCAGAATTGGTGAGTTTGTCAACTCCTCCCAACCGTTCTTAACTCCTTTGTGCTGCCGGTAAGTGGTGGGAATCCTAGTTGTTGCCAGTGTGTATGAGAGTTCTCAAATGTCACTGGCAACAAGGAGGGGGCAGGGTTGGCGGGGGACTGGATGGGGCGCGGGTGGGCGAAGCCGGGGCAGCGGCGGTCGCGGAATCGCAACAACCAGAAGGCGGCACGGCAACCGAATGACGTGGCGGATTATTACTCTGAGTGGAGCGAGTCAGGTTCGGAACTGGTGAGTTTTTCAACTCCTCTCGGCTCCTCTCAATCCCTTTCAACGCCCTTTCAACTCCACGCAACCCCTCTCAACCTCTCTTGCTGCCTCTAAGTTCCATCTCTTTCTGTTTACCTGTGTGCTTCTGCCTGCAGGAGCTAGCGGATAGGGAGTTCAGGGCAGGGGGCGGCAGGAAGGGCATGGACAACGGAGACGAGCTTTTTGACGAGGAAGGCGTGCCCTTCAGGTGAGTCTTCAGGTGTTCTTCAGGTAGGTTGTCAGGTGCCCTTCAGGTGAGTCTTCATGTGTTCTTCAGGTAGGTTGTCACGTGCCGTTCACGTGCGTCTTCAGGTGTTGTTCAGGTAGGTTGTCAGATGCAGGTTGAAGCTTTGGATTTCACTGTGCTGCAAAAGAGAGCAATGGTCTGGAGTTTGGAGTGAGAGCAAAGTTGAGACTCAGTCCACCCGCATTGTATCACACATCGCACTTGCTCCCCCCGCCCGCCCTCCCCCATCAGTGAACGGGCACCGATGGCGCCGCAAGCGAAGCTGTTTGCAGCGGAAGTACCTCAAAGAGCGCCAGGCTGTCATTAAAGCCGCCCGGCAGGAGCACATCTCCCGTGCCTGAGTATGTCCCCCCCACATGCTGTGCCTTTCTCCTACCCCCCCTTCCATGCACCAGTGAAAGAGCATCGATGGTGGAGCAGGCAAAGCTGTTTGCAGCGGAGCAGCAGAAGTACCTGAAGGAGCGGCAGGCTGTCATTGAAGCCGCCCCATTGTTTATACCCCAATGCTCCCCTCTATTCCCCCCTGTGTCCCTACCAGCGAACGGGCATCCATGGTGGAGCAAGCAAAGCTGTTTGCAGCGGAACAGCAGAAATACCTCAAGGAGCGGCAGGCTGTCATTGAAGCCGCCCGGCAGGACTGGCAGCGGCAGATGGCTGCGGCCCAGGAGGTCTCAGATGAGGACGACAGGCGGCGTCGCATCCAGCACCTGACGGATCTTAAAGCCACGCTGGACCAGCACGTTAGGGAGCTGAATGACGACGCCCGGCATGTCAGTCAACTCAAGAAGAATTTGTTAAGTTTTTCGAGGAATGGGGCGAATAGTGGGGCTGGGAGTGGGCCGGGCGCGGGGAGTGGTGGTGGGAGCGGGGATTTCGGGAGGGGCGGGAGGGGAGGGAGAGGGGAACGGGGGAGGAGGGATGGAGTGGGAGGGAGGGGAGGGGCGGGAGGGAGAGGGGAGGGGGGAGTGGGGATTCCGCCAGGTGGCGGCGTGCGATTGGATCAGAATGGGCCGCTGTTGAATTTCCCGCCGGACGCGATTATGTCCCGAGCCTCGTCGTTTGCTTCGGCGAGCATGGGTCGGGAGAGCTTCGATATTGATGAGATGATGGGCGGGCTAGGGTTGGAAGGGCCCTGGTCCAGACCTAGCCCCCGAAGCAGCCTCGGAGGCACGGGAGACATGATGGGAGGAGGTTCGGGTGGAGGAGGAGTGGGGCCAGGAGCAAGAGGGGGGGGAATGGGGGGAGGGGCAGCAGGGGGAAGTGGAGGCATGGGCATGGGGATGGGCATGGGGATGGGGATGGGGATGAGGGGCGGCAGCGGTGGTGCCAGCAGCAGCATGGGGGGGAGGGGATTCGGTGGGGGAATGGGAGGGGGAATGGGTGGGGGGGGTATGGGACGAGGAGGCGGGATGGGGGGAGGGGGGATGGGGGGGATGGGCATGGGGGGAAGCGGGATGGGGGGAGGGATGGGAGGAGGGCTGGGGGGAGGAGGGCTAGGAGGCAGGGACTCATGGTTTGATGAGGTGTACGGGTCTAGCTCTGCTGTTACATCCCCCACTCTCTCCCCGCCCGGCGTTGCGGGCAGAAATATCTTCCAGGGGGAGTTTGACCTGGGGGAGGGGAGTGGCGGAGGGGGGAGCGGCGGGGGGAGGATGGGGGGAGGAGGAATGGGAATGGGGGGAGGAGGAGGGCTGGGGGGAGCGGGTGGGAGGAGAGGAACGGGGATGGAGGAGGGAGGGGCGAGGAGGGGCGGGGGTGGGGGAGGAGGAGGGGGAGGGAGGATGGAGGTGGAGGGCAGTGGACGGAGTTCAAGTTTGGGAATCTGCTGCCCGGCACTCAAGCACAACCCGATCCCCTGTGAGCTTCTTGCAATGCCATGTCCACCTCTGGCTGCTGATTGTACCATGCTGCATACTATGCGGTGTGCTCTTTCGATTGCACCCCTCTTGCGATTGCACCCCTCTTTCTATCGCACCCTTATTCGGACCCTTGTGGTGCCTATTGCTGTTGCATCTTCACAAGCCCTTCTCCACCACTTTCTACCGCTCTCCACACTCGCAGGCGCAGGAATAGGGAAGCGGCTCGAGCAACAGGCAGTGGCAGCGGTGGCGGTGGTGGCGTTGGTGGTGGCGTTGGTGGGGCAGGTGGCAGCCTGTTTTCTCTTGACGACTCTCCCACAGCCCGCGACATGGATGCTCGGGGTGATATGAGGGCTGAAGGAAGGGTGGAGGGGAGGATGGGGCGGGATATGGATGGGAGGGAAGGCCGAGAAGTGGAGGGGCGAGGGGGGAGGGAGGCGGGAGGGAGAGCAACGGCAGCGGGGCATCGGCTGTCAAAGCTGCAAGACGAATCAGGTGTTGGGAGTGGCAGCGGCAGGGAGCAGGTGAGAGAGACGCCGAGTGTGTGTGGGTGTGAATTTGGGGGTGGGGATGGGTGCGTGTGGGCATGTGTGTGCTGCCTTGTAGCTGTGTGCGTGTGAGCATGCTGCTGTGTATATCAGTCGTTTTTGTTAGGCAGGTAGGGTATGAGTGAGAGTAGCTGTAGACCTGTTAATATTGTGGGGAGTTCAGGGTTGGTGATGGGTGCACAATCAATAGGACCTTTTCCGTACCCTCCCCCATTGCTTCAGGCGTCTCGGCAAAGAGGAGCACACAGTGGCTCGGCTCAGCATCAGCAGGGCCGCCGCTCGTCAATGGACGTCTGAGGCTCTGAGCTCTCACATCAAGCACCCTCAAATGAACTAACACCGACGCTCAGAATGACTTCTAGAGAGCTCTTTGAAATGCCGCTGTTTGCTGCAACACAATCATTTGTTCATTTACCTTTACAGCATTGCCTGGCAAAGTAGCCGGCAATGGCTTCTAATTATGGATGTAAGCGCTCGCTATTGTTGCTTGCACCGTATGTGCAATAAGCCTTTCATTATGTGTAATTCTGTAAGAATAACTGCAAGTGTAGTCGCCTCTTCCCGCGTTTATCAATGCCTGCGTCCGAACCACGCATAGCTGGAGATTTCGTGACTTTACACGAGCCAATCAACCACCATGTCCAGGCGCTGCGAAAAAGGGGACTGTCACCACCAGCTTTCGCGGGCTTTCGAGAAACGGCATGGTGTCTCGTCTTCGGCTTCGCATGTCGTAGGGGAAGTACCCATCAACCACGCAAGGCCAATGGCACATTCTGCTCGCATGTGCGCCTCGCATTCCCAATTCGGCGACTCGAATTTTCGAGAGAATTGCCGCGGCACGGGCTTTGGTTTCGTGAATTTTATTTTCGCGTTCAATTTTTTCCAAAACCTGTTTCGCGATCCACCCACCTTTTATCGCGCACTTTCCGCGCTCGCGACATTTCGCGTTATATAAACACATTAATGGTTGTTTTTGGGGTTTCCATTTTGTCGGTGGGCAGTTTACAGTTTGGCACGGAACATCACTGCCACGCAGCGCTAATCGATCGGTAATTTCGTCCCTCACATCTTGGAATGCAGGTTCGGCCAGGATCAAGACCGAACAGGTTCGACAGTGAGCTTCGGTTTACTGTGTCAGACAACGAGATTGAACGTGTCGCGATACGATTGGTGAGAGTTCATTTTCAAATGTTCAGTCTGTCGAGCGCCTCGTTAATTAACACGCTGCCACGTGCGATGGCCGCGTCACCATCTGTTTGAATTAGGGAGACGAACCAACCAGTAGTTGAGCGCCGAGTCATACAACACGTTCAAATGTGGTGAAATGTCAACAAGCCATCCCCGATTGCTCGATACTGCATCGGTGTAGTAATGTAAACAGCACAAAAGAAAAGATAATTAAGTAACAACAAAGTAGTAATAGCTTATTGTGTAAGATATGAAGTTTGAATATGCCGTGTTGGGATATGCTTTGTGTTTAGATAAAAAAAATATGTAACTCACGGCTCACTTTACATAATGGCGTGAAATGATGTACATTATTATTTCGGATGTCATAACTTTTTTTAATCTGTTCTTGTTTTAGGGGGGCAAGACGTACATATAGTGCTTGTGTCTGCAAATGGCAATTCTTGCCATACTCCAACAAAGAAGTTAGAGCTTATTGTGTAAGATATGAAGCTTATATGTACTGTGTTGGGATATGCTTTGTGTTTGAAGGTATTCTAAACACAACTCTTGCAATCCATTCATTTTAGTAGTACAATTGAAGTTTAATAATATATCTGAAAGTCTTTTGGAGATTATTTTCTGCATGATTTTACAATTTTGAAAGTTCATATTAGAACTTGTGCCAAATTTGCTATCCAAAAGTGTTCTGTACGGTTACATTATGCACTTATTATGTATTTTTTACACGCAATCATGAAGTCCATCTGCATAGTGAGAAATTATATAGTTAGTCAAATTCACTCTTCAATACCGGTAACATGAATATTTCGTTGCATCGTTTACCAAGTGATAATGTTAGACAATAAATCTTATAAAGTTCATAAACATATGTAGTTTTATGTTTAAAACCTGTGCCCATATCTCAAATAAAATTCATGTATTTGGACTATGAAGAAACTGATATTAACAAATAGAAAAGTGGGAAATGTTCACAGTTTTATCTGTGTCATCCTTAAATAAATCCCGTGTACTAACGGAATGCACGGCATGACTCTCGCTTTTCAACGTCGAGGTGTTATCGTCATGCTTACGTGTGACAACATGATTTGTTCCGTTGGTAGTGTTCCGAATTTGACGTGCTGTACCGTGCTCGTGCTGCGAATTTTTGTAACTATCAATCAACACTTGCCGCGTCAGCATGGGCATATGTTTTGTTCAAACCAACAGGGGCTGAGCGCGCTGCGCTAATGTACACGTCAGGATTTTGGTAAGGAACGTCGAGCCAACTAGTCAGGTTTGGGAGTGCTTATCGCGTGACAACCTGGATGGTTTGGTCCCAACTTTATTGGAGATGGGACAGACGGTCTAGGTAGAAAATTCTTGCTGACCCTACGTGAACTGCTACACTGCATTTCGAGATGTCGAAATGACGCGTGCGCGGGAGCCGCGTGATGAAAGGTGGCGAGATCGCATTTCGGGTTTTACAAAAATTTCCCCGCGATATAACAAATTACCGAGGCCGAAGCCCGTGTCGCGGTAATTCTCTCCGAATTTTCCCTCAACTCCCGCGCACCGCCTGGTCGCACATCCATTTTTGAACGCGCCTGACGATGGAGTCGACATGACATGCACTGGTCATCTATTCTCCTTCAGTATCAGCTCCACCAAAATAACCAACAATAGCGCTTTATCTCAATCCACGTCTCACTTCTTCATTTCAAGCCTTCGCGATTCTGTCATCAGTCAAGCTGTTACTCAATTTCGATTATGGCAACCACGCCTCTCTCCCCGTCGGCCTTTCTTGGCGTGCAGCTTAGCTCGCGACTTCCCGCAGCATGCGACACCTCTCTGTCAGGAAGCGGTGCTGCCAGGCCCGCTAGCACGACCACGATGGCCGTGATGGGCCCCTCGTGGCCGTCCGATTCGTCGTTCGACTCATCGCAACACTGGCTGGCGAATCCTAGCGATTCGCAGAACGTACCCCCGGCGACGCCCGATTTTCATCGCCCTCATCGCTCGCTCGCCTCCCCGCCAAACGCGGCCAGCGCTCCTGCTGAGACTGACGTGGCTGGTTCCCTTCGGGCGAACCGGCTATTGAGGATCCCGCCAGTTGCGCCGCAACGCACGCTTCCCGGACTAAGCATCACTCCAAAGAAGGCGAATAAGAAAGCACTGGTTCACCGCGGGCCGGAT